CCACCATCCAGAGCTTCGTCAGGGACAGCCGGCTCTGTGAGACCCCCGGGGACCCCTCACCTGTCCTACCTCACCTGTCCCACCTGTGCCCCCTCCCCTGCCACCATCCAGAGGTTTTTGAAGGACAGTCGGCTCGGTGAGACCCCAGAGACCCCCCCCTTGCCTGTCACACCTGTCCTGCCTCACCTGTCACACCTGTCCCTTCACCCATCCTACCAGTCCCCCCTCAACTATCCCACCTGTCCCATCTCACCTGTCCCCCCATCTGTCCCCTGTCTCACCTGTCCCCCCGTCCCCTCACCTGTCTCCCCTGTTCCCCCCCCCAGAGGCGGTTCCCCCCTCGGCCCCCACCCCCCGCCGGGGGGGCCCGGGGGAGGAGGGGCTGCGGGAGATGAACAAGAAGCTGCAGAACCTTCTGGAAGAGCAGCTCACCAAGAACCTGCACCTGGCGCAGGTGAGGGGGCGGGGCTTCGCCTGGGGGTGGGGCTTCGCCTGGGGGTGGGGCTTCACCCGGGGGGGGGCACTGAGGGGGTCAGTGGGAGGACTGGGAGGTCACTAGAGGGTCGTTGGGGTTACTGGGAGCACTGGGTGGGTTTTACTGGGATGACTGGGGGTGTTTTGGGGGAGCTGGGGGGCGGGGCTTGGGGGTGTGGGTGAGGGGGCTGAGGTGGGATTTGGGTGGGGAATGAGGGGCTGGGAAAGGGGGTAGGGTCAATGGGAGTGGCCGGTGTGGGGGCGTGGCCTCTGACCCCCTCATTCCCTCCCCTCTCCTCCTCCCCAGGACCTGGAATCGCTGTCCCAGGAACTGGCCCAGCTCAGGAAGGACCAAACGGCCCCCCCTGGACCCCCCTGAGGGGCAAGGCCACCTCTGCCGGTGGGCGGGGCCTCTCCCCCTCGCCCCGCCCCCTCCCGCTGCAAGCTCCACCCCCCGGTGGGGGGCGTTCTGCTTGGGGGGGGCATTGCCCCTTTAAGAACGGTGGGGTGGTCCCTACTTGGCGTTACCCCTGTGAGGCCTGGGCAGATCCCCCGGGGGGGGTGTTGCCCCTTTAAGACGGGTTTAAATCTCTCCCCTTTGGGCGTTGCCCCTTTAAGGAGGTCGCGGTCCCCTCTATGCCGTTGCTCCTTTAAGACCTGGGGTGGTCCCCTACTTAACGTTGCCTCTTTAAGACGGGTATGGGCCCGCCCCCCCCCCAGGACGCCATTGCCCATTTAAGAACGGGTTTGACACCACCTTTGGGCGTCGCCCCTTTAAGACGAAGGTGGGGCCCTCCCCAGACTCCGTTTCCCCTTTAAGACGGGTTTGAAACTCCCCCTCGGGCGTTGCCCCTTTAAGGCGGTCGCGGTCCCCCCCCATTGTGCCGTTGCCCCTTTAAGAGGGGGAGGGTCCCGCATGCGGCCCCCCCTCAATAAACAAACCCCAACCGCCAGTGGTGACGTCATTGTGTGGGGAGGGAGGGGCGTGGTCTCGGCGGTGACGTCACTTCCCCGCGGTGCCCCGGATGTTGTTTGAGGGCAGCGGCCGCCGGGACGGGGCTCGTTCGGCGCTTCCGCGGCCGCTCCGGATCCTGCCCAGCCCCGCCGGGGGGGGCGCGACGTGACGTCAGCACGGTGACGTAACACCGGGGGGGAGGTTAGAAAACGCCCCAAAATCCCCCCCAACCTTCCCCCCCCAAAAAAACCTCCGGCCCCCCCCTAACATGGCGGCGGCCGCGGGGGGCGGAGTCTCGCCGGGGGGCGGGGCCGCGCTGGAGGAGGAGTGCGAGGTTGTGCGCGTGCGCGTCAAGGTGAGG